ACAGGCTGCCCAGAGAGGTTGTGGAGTCTCCCACTCTGGAGACATTCAAAACCCGCCTGGACGCTGTCCTGTGCAACCTGTTGTAGGTGACCCTGCTCTGGCAGGGGGGTTGGACTAGATGATCTCCAGAGGTCCCTTCCAACCCTGACCATTCTGTGATTCTGTGAAGTGGCATTATTCAGCATTCGGTGCACACCATTGTGAAATGCCGTGTGCATTTTAAAGTAAAGTAAACCCACTAATGCTATGGATAAGAAACATCTAGCAGAAGAGCCCAGACCTAAATCTAGCTACTAAAATGGTGCTTCCTTGGTTCCAGAGACTTCAAATGAGTTTCAAGTGGAGGAGGTAACTATTTAGCCCACTTGAAATCAGATAGGAAGTAAAGGGAAGAGAAAGCTATTACATCTCTGTTTCTCTTCTGTTTTTCACTTTTTCCAAGCTGAATCTTACTGTCTGGTCTCCTGGCTTCATCCTTCTGCAGTGTGTAAGACTTAGGAGGAGGGAGCCAGGAATGAAGAGAAGAAGCACAAATTGATCAGTGGATTCTCTGCTCACAGATAGAACAGAGCAAAAATAAAGCACGGGCAGCTACTGTTGCTCTTTTTCCACTTTACATGTAGGAAGACGGAGAATTATGCATGGTATCATCAAGTATATCCATCCTGTCCTACCCAGCTCTGTCTTTGGCATGCCTATTTCTAACTAGGTGGTATTCTTCTTCCTTTAAAAGAAAAGGGTTCTGTATTAATATTTACTACTTAATTGCATGCTTTGAGTTTGCAAACAAGCAGTATAGCTGGTTCCTCGTCCTTCTGTTCCACTTTTCCTTAGAAGAAGTGCAGAATAGCCTCCTGATACTAAGAAGGATCTTAAGTCACCCCATTTGCATTGAACTTGACTGCATATGTGTACTGTCCACTTATTTTGATTAATTAGCTTTTAGAAAGCTTACATTGAATCCTAACAGTTCTTCTGGACAGTATGAACGGTACTTCCAGATAGCCAGGTGGCTGACTGGTGCTAAGCATTTTACAAAAGGATGAAGATACAATCCCTGATTCTTAAAAGAGTGTACATTAATTCTCTACAGTCTGATCCTTTTACTTTAGTGGCCTTTGAAAGTCTTCAGTGGGAACTGAGCTGTGCTCCAGCTACAAATGCTTTTTCTTATTATCTGGGGGCTTCCATAGCTGCTTTATTAATCTGTTTAGCTTTTTTATCTTTTCTTTCTTTGTAACTTTGTTTAGGCTTATCTTTTCTTGACCGAATAGTTCTTTTTCTTCTGAGTTAATATCTGTTAAGTTATAGTTTATGTTTGAGTATTCTGCCAGTAGTGGAGTTTATGTAAAATAAATAAATACAAATTCTTTTTTGTTATCACATGAGATTCCCATGCTGTCACTTCTCTGAAGGATTCCTGTGTTCTTCCTATGTCCTTTGTTCACGCTTCTTGGGTCACAGTTCATGGTTTGGTGATCACTACATCATTTTACGTACACTAAATTGTTTGTTAATTTAAAGGGATAACTATTTAAGCCTGATCTGCTGCATTTGGAGTAGTAACATGTAATCCAAATCTTATTGTGGATTGTATAATATTCAACTGGAATCTGGGAGGCAGTGACTGTTGAATCTCTCCTCGTTTTCTTCAATACATTTCTAAAATCACCTACGAACTTACTAATTTAACCTGCTTTGCTAGTGTCCAGCTCTTCTGAAGTTGATGTTTACATGGTTTTAAAGTACTGTCATCTGGGGAATTCAGCATCCATATCTAGATACTGAAATGTCTATCTGAAACTGCAGTCCAAGCATTTTACTTTCCAAGGACATTGTTTTTTTTAAGGAGTATACAGCATACAGATCAGGGATCTTTTAGTATTTTAAATATCTACATAGCCTTTTTGGGTTTTCCCCAATGTTAGTAATAATATTTACTGCAAGTAGTACTGTTTGTAATGTGACTGAATTCATCTTGAAAAATAATACAGCCACCAATTACCCCATTTTGCATGTCTCTGTAGATATGTCCCAATTTTGGCTGGATTTCCTCTTTTTTTTTTTTTTGGTAAATTTCTTATTTTTTTTTTTTCAGTGATCAGTTGCAGGTAGTGTTTCTCAGTCCTTTCAAAATTGCCAGAAGAAACAGATTTTGTTGTCTTTTGCTATTTGTATGGGGAAAGGTTTTAATGCATTTTCATATCTTGAATAACCTGAACTGTGTTTGTAATTTTGTGTAGCCTCTTCTCTTCTCCACTGCTTTCCAGCTAATATCCCTGCCTTGTCCATATACTTCTTTGGCCACCTTCTCTGCTGAATAGCATCTCTCAAACTGTTTCTGATTTCACTTAGGTTATTTCTGATCCTCAACCACTCTTCTCATTCTTATCCATCAAACAAGAAACATCTTTTGTGTTACGTGTGGACAATATTCTTTTCCCAGCAATCTGTATTTCATTTTCAGATTCAAGAGGCCTTAATTTTCTCTGGGGGTGGGGCTGGGGCTGGTCTGTAAAAATTTTAAAAATAAAATGTTTTAAAGTCACATTATTAATGTTAGGTTTTTGTGTTTTTAAGATTACATTCAGTGTCCATATTGTCAGAGGAGATTCAATGAAAATGCAGCTGACAGACACATCAATTTCTGTAAGGAACAAGCAGCACGTATTACTAATAAGGGGAAGTTGGCAGCTGATACCAAAGGGAAGCTTCCTACTCGAACACAGGTGAACTACAACATTTTTCTTAACTTGTAACTTGCATTCAACATCAAATTGAACTTGTTAAATGGATTTCACTATTTTATTCTGTAATTTTGTTATTTATGCTAGACTGAAGTTAGACACTAAGCATGGAAGAGGTTATTCCTTTCTTATGAGAGTTGCAAAGATCCATAAATCAGATGGCAGCAGTTGCAAAGCCAAAACCAGTCAGAAATGTAATTCAGAGATTTGTGAAGATGACAGGTAACGGTAGCAGCAGGAAGCAGAGATGGAGTGTTTGTAAAGAAAGTTGAATTTCTGGTGTGCAGGTCTTCGGAATTCAATTCAAGACTGTTGCTTAAGTGGACAAATAAAGGTAGATGACCACAGGACAACTGACAGCAATATTTTGGCTAATTAGAGGCTTGGAGGAATTCGATATGTTAAAGTCAGAGCTGCAGTAGTTAACTTACAATGGAAACAAATGAATGACTAAAGTGTATGTGTGTTTTCATTTGGTGGTAGTGCTCTTTTTTCTGTAAGCTGTGAAGAATTAAACAGACACAAGCAGTTACATAGTGATTCTTGCACTGTATTTCAGATCAGTGCTGGGACTGGTCCAGAGCGCACAGGTGAAAGTGAGATTTGAAAGACAAAAATGATTCTGTCCTCGAGTATTCTTTTTTTAAATTAACTGGTAATGAGGTCATAATGTTAATCTTATAAGACAGCTATGGAAAAAGATGAGAAAAACTGTAGAAAAGCATAAAATACACAAAGACATACAGTTAAATAAAAAACTAAAACCACTGAGTAAAGTTAGGTAATCTTTCCTACTAGTATCATCTGTATGTATAAGAAAGCAGATTAGTGGAAACCATTTGTATGATCCCATACCAGAAACAGTTTACCTACTAGGTAAGCATAATCTGTTTTCCCACAATACCTGTGTTAACTGCCTATCGTGTTATATAGATAGTTTGATTTAATTGCTTAAATTTCTAGGTTGTATTTTGTTACAGTACAAACCTGCTGCAGTTAAGAAGATGCCTTCTGTAGGATCAACACCATCATCATCATCACGTTTACCACAACCAAGTGGTGTTAGCAAAACTGTTGTAGGTATGAAATTAATGTTATGAATTTTCCATTTCCTTTCTAAATATTAGTTCTCAAAATATGCGGTAAAAGTAGTATAATTTTAATAGCTGGAAGGATTTCTACAGCATTGTCCAGTGATTTAAACTGATTTAAACTGTAAAAAGATTCCTAGTAGGAGTTCAGTGTTACATGACTGGATAAGATGGTGTCTGTTTTTCATAATATAATTTTTTTAGTCAATGTTTTTGTGACCTGATTTTTTTTTTACTTACATATGTAATGGCTATATATTTTATTGTTGAAATTAATGTAGTGGTTTGTAAAAACTCATTTAAAGTAAAGTTGCAAGGGGCACTGGTTAACATCTATCCAACAAGACTCTTAAGCACATAGGATTCTCCTCTGTTTTATATATCAGGTCAAATTAGTTTTTTTCTGAATTGAACCTGCAAAATCATTCTATGTAGTAAAGGCTAATTATTTCTAATAGTGATTTCTCACCTGAGATTTTTCTGTTGCTCAATTCTGTAACTAATTTGTATGCTGAATATGATCATGAATTGGTGAAAATAAATAGTCAAACTATGTATATTATAATTATTCAAACACCGGTCTTGTTTTGATTTCAGATGTCATCAGATATCAAACGTGTTATGTTTGTACATACTTTGACATTATAGACTTCGTTTCCTTTTTCTTTCTGAATGAAGTAATTGAGATCCAGCATTTTTTATTAGACCATTATGTCTCAATTGCATATTTTCTGTAAATTTCTGGAAACATACTTGCTTTTTCCTATTATCTTGACACTTGTTCACTTGGTATTTCTAAAACTTTTGTTTTGAATTTCACAATTTAAAAATTTATAATGAATTGTGTTATTCCAGCAGCAAAATCTTACATTTTCATATATTTCCATGTTTGCTTTCAACTGCAAGGTGTGTCTTCAAGTAAAGCACTCTCTTCATCTGCATCCAGTGGGAGCAAAATTCAGACATTATCACCAGCTCATAAAAACTCATTGGGAATGGTGAACCCACAAGCAGGGTAAGTTTCCTTTTAATGTTGTCATTTATGCTTTATTTCATATTTATGTTATGCTAGCTCTAGAAGTGTCTGTGGTCTGTTTCACTTACATTTTTCTTTTCCTGTGAGCTTAAGACGGGTAGTGTTTTGAATTTATCCTTTATTTATAAACACAATTAATGTTTAAAGAACATTGGAGTAGGCAAAGATGCATTTTCTAATGTTAAGATAGCAGCAAAGGGGGGTCAAGTGATAAAAATAGATATAAAGTAGATTAAAAAGTTACAGAATATGCAGAAATGGTTGGAGCTATAATTTTTTTTCTCTGTAAAAGTAAAGAGACTTCAAAAAGGAGAAAACATTAGACACATTTTCCTGCAATTTGTGGAAATAAAAGAACAAGGCCTCTGTCACAGACTTAGCACAAAAGGATGGATACTTTCCCTCTTCCCTTTCCCGTCTTAAAATAAGCAAGAGACAACAAATGAATGAGCACAAGTAAGGCAGTGGAAACCAGAGCTCTACAACAGCAAGGTTCTTGCTGATATTCTGCTGGAGGGTAGTCAGGAATACTATCTCAAAGAAGAAATGTATGGAAGGGATTGAAGAAAAGTACTGCAATTATACAGAAGTTTGAGGAGCGCCAAGGAGCACTGAGTGAAATCATAAAACATACGACAAAGTGATTGCAGTTATAACACTGGTGATTGAAGAAGACTTATTCCTATAAAAATGAGTATCAGATTGGTGAAGGCTGCATAAAGTGGAGAAAAATAATAGCTTGAGCTTGGGAGGAAGAAAAAGAACATTCTGAAAGAACTCATGGGGATGAAGAGCTTTATTAATTACACAAAACTAGTGATTTTCAGTTGATCGCTCTTACAAGTTACACACAAGTATGAATTGCAGCTCTGTCACACCTCCCTCCTAACACCATGTTGCATGAGGATGCATTTCTGTCCCTCGTTGTTGTACCCACTCATTCTGTCTTTCAGACACAGACCGGAGGTAGAGTCTGTGAGGTTGTCGGAAAATTTCCACCTTCCAGTGTCCTAGTAGACTTTGGTGTACAGGTCAGCTTCACTGCTGTTTGTAGGCATCTGAGCTTTGACTGTCAGAAAATCCCAGGCTGTGTTATTCACTGACTGTTTTTTATATCACATTTTCTCCATTTTCAGAAGTTGAATTAACACCTACTCATGACTGGCAAACAAGTAGGTCTGCAAACCACAGTAAAAAAAGTCAGCTGAGATAATTTGAAGGCATGTTTCTGACCATAGTGGTGAATCCCAGCTGTCTGGGAAAGGCTTTTTCCTGTTGATAGAGTTTCTAATTGCAGTCTGTATTGGTTTGTGAGGGAGCACAGGTTTTGGCCTTCGCTTCTTGACAGGGAAGTTCTATTTAATTTTTACCAGTCAGTTGCTCACTGAACTTAACTACTTTGTATTCTGTAGTCTTCCATTTCGCCTTCCGAAGCTTGGAGGAAGAATTGTGACGTGACCAAACCAAATAGCAGTTAATATACTGAGAGATGTTTGCGCAGGTTCTCTCTGTTCACACATGCTGTTAACTGCAAATAGATGAGTTCTGGTTGGCATAGCTCTCAGATAATGATCTCTGCTGAGAGGCAGTGAATGTTAGCTTGGCTTATAACCTCACTTAACTGCTTGCACAATTTCCAGTTTTTAAGAGTATGGATGTGGTGAGTGTGTTTCTGCCTGCAGTCCTCCTCTCTTCTCTGTTCTAAAAAACTTTTGTTCTCTTCTTGTCTTTGCCAGCCAGTCCTTATGATTTCTTGCTCGTCATACTAACCGGTCTTCTCACAGATGGCTGCTAAATGTGTCTCTTTCCTAACTGTTATACCCGAGATCTAGCAATTCTTTCTTTTGGCTGCTTTGTGTTCACTTCTTGAGAACAAGTTTGTCAGGAGTTATGTTGAAACAAAGAGGTGTAGGAGAAGACACGGAAGAGTTAGGTGCATCAGGTTGCTCACTAGTGACAATTTTGGCCTAAGTGATCTCGGCCTTAGTATTGGGTTGTGAGGGGGAAATACGTAGGGTTCTGTTAAAATACCTACAAAATTGTATTAGAGCAGGAACTGAGACACTAACAGTTGACATCCTAAGTTAGAGTGAAAATAATTAATACTGTAGTAACACAGATTTTAAACATTAAATCATCTTACAATTTAGGCTATAGCTAATTGCAGCTAGAATTTTATAAAATAAAGGCGCTTTTAAAATTCTATAAAAATAACCTTTATTAGGATGAAACGAGATGTATTTCTTTTGCTGCATTTACAATTTGACCAGTAAAATGACAAGCCATAGCATGAGAGCTGGGATTCTGTTTTACCTAAGTCAGGCAGAGTGGATGCTGTAAGATGTCATGCTCTTCCTTTGGAGTTGATAGTAAACTGTTTTACTGAGCACAGTGTTGCACATGCATTGTTTTAAGGGCAGTCTTTCAAATGGAACATTAAGAGATGACATGGTTATTTATTTTTTCCTTGTCAAATACTTAAGACCCTACACACTTTATTGACGTCCTTAAATTACAGTTTTTGCTGCAAGAAACAAGTTCCTGCAGCTTGCCATAAAGCAAACTGTAATTCTGTAATTTTTGGGGGGTGTTACGTATTAATTAAGTGAAACCTTCAATTTTTGCCTAGATTGTTGTAATTCCAGATTTGGCAGAGAGGTAGTGAGGCTTGGCGAGACACCAAGCTCTATGGAGCAGTCAACACGCTGTAGGGAAGGGATGCCATCCTGAGGGACCTGGACAGGCTTGAGAGGTGGGCCTGTGCAAACCTCATGGAGTTCAACAAGGCCAAATGCAAGGTCCTGCACGTGGGCCAGCGCAATCCCATGCGCAAATACAGGCTGGGTAGAGAATGGATTGAGAGCAGCCCTGAGGAAGACTTGGGGGTGTTGGTGGATGAGAAGCTCCACTTGAGCCCGCAGCGTGCACTTGCAGCCCAGAAAGCCAACTGCATTCTGGGCTGCATCAAAAGAAGCATGGCCAGCAGGTGGAGGGAGGTGAGTCTGCCCCTCTGCTCTTGTGAGAGACCCAACCTGGAATATTGCGTCCATCTCTGGAGCTCCCAACATAAGAAGGATATGGATGTATTGGAGTGGGTGCAGCGGAGAGGGCCGCAAAGAAGATCAGAGGGCTATGAAGATGATCCGAGGGCTGGAGCACCTCTCCTATGAGGACAGGCTGAGAGAGTTGGGGTTGTTCAGCCTGCAGAAGAGAAGGCTCTGGGCACACCTTATAGCAGCTTTCCAGTATGTGAAGGGGGCCTACAAGAAGTCTGGAGAGGGACTCCTTACAAGGGCATGTAGCGATAGTACGAAGGGTAATGTCTTCAAAGTGGAAGAGGGAACATTTAGAAGAGATGTTAGGAAGAAATTTTTCACTTTGAGGGTGGTGAGGCACTGGAACAGGTTGCCCAGAGAGGTTGTTGAGGCCCCATCCCTGGAGGTGTTCAAGGCCAGGCTGGATGGGGCCTTGAGCAACCTGGTCTGGTGGGAGGTGTCCCTGCCCATGGCAGGGGGGTTGGAACTCGATGATCTTCAAGGTCCCTTCCAACCTAAACCATTCTATGATTAATAGTAGAATTACAATTATATTGTGCAATATGAAGGATGGATTATATGGATATTGGAGGGAGGGAAATTTAATCAGACATTGCTTCTTTCTGTAGAATCATGGTACCTGTTCTCTGTGATGAATATGTGAAAGGGCAAGAAATTACTATCTACTGGCTAATGTAACAACCAGAAATTATTAAAATATACAGACGTGCAGTTTCCCTCTTGCTCTTTAGGTGGCACTCTTGAACTGCTGCCTGAAACTACGGTGACAGGCAGGCACATGAAGCTGGTTCGTGCATTTGTGTTAAAGGTGAAGGCTAAAACGGGCTGGGTCTCTAAAGTGTTTAGTTCTGTGGGGGAAATATTCCTGAAGTTAATTTCACAGAAAGTTCAACTTCAATATTACAGGTTTTTTTATTTTTTTTTATTTTGTATGAGCAGAAATGCAACCAAATTTTATGAACTCCCTTTTTTTAAGTCAGTTTTGCTATACTATTTCTTTTTTTAATTTGAGTTCTTCTATTCTGCTCTCTAAGGACTACTGAGAGAGAACACCACAGCATCATCAACATGAGATAAGTTAGTGTTAGTGAGGTGTACTTTGTATGTGTAGATCAGGAGCTGAGCTTTGCTTTGAGAGTTTTCTTTTTCTGCCTGGACGAAGTAAGAGTGCAGCCAGTTGTAAGTATTAATGGAAGTATAGCATAAGGGCATTATTTCTGAGTCCTACAGAAGCAAATAAGAGTGCAAGAACAGTGTATGACTGTATTATAGTCAGTAGGAAAACCTTCATTCACTTGTGTGTGTGAAAATAGGATTTCATCTTTTTGATGTTGAAGGAAAGTTAATTCTACATAAATTGTAGTTAGGGTTATATTTTGATAGTGAATCATGTTAAGATTCTAAGTTTGATACGTATTTTGTAAGAGTACAGAGTTTAGCACTATGTTATGTTTCTTGAGGGTAGGGCAGTTCTAGTAAGCTGTCAGAAGTAATCAGATCTTCAGGAGAAAAAATTGGGTAGGTGGTTCTCCCTATCCTAAGGCTAAGCAAACAGGATATACTCCACTCCCACGTGCAAACTGTTTTGCCTTGCAGAACTTGACACCAGTGTTTATGGCCAGCCAGAGATCTTTTGCACATACAGATTAATTGTCTATGCATGTTTCATTTATAAACAGTATTTAATTTTTTTTTTTTTACTGGGACTTAGAAAATTATTATTATTTCAGTATAGCAAATGAACCATTAGAAATCATTTTTATTTTATTTTGGGGATAAAACATACTATTTAATGTTAAGCTGATCAAAGTTATGCCTCCTGGGAATCACATCTGTTAGTGACACATCTAATACTGTCTTACAGCTGAAATACAATATGAATGACACACGTAATTAGTATTGGTAAATTTTAAATTCCACTTACATATTTGACATATACGTGTAGCCTTTAAAAATGTAGTATTGTTTAGATAGCATGTTCCTTTCATTAAGACTATAACTTACACAGCTTTGTTCAATGAAATCAAGGTAAATAAGAATTTGTCTTGGTGCTCTTTGCATTTCAGAAGATTCTTATGATTGTGCTTTCTTTTCATTAGTACATGCAAATGCTGTCACCTTTGTTTTTTTGGTTTTGTTAAGTGTGAAAGAATACTGTAGTTCTTTATTTGGGCAGTATCATGCCTGCTTCTAGGTTATTGTCTTTGATGTCCTACAAAGTTCTGGAGTTCACAGATTATGTTGACAAATTCTTAAAGGTTCAGAAAAGAGCTACACAAATCACGATAAGTTGGAGTGTTTTGCAGTGTCAAAGACCTCAATCTTGCTTCTCAGTCCTTGGGAAATATATAAAGAGTCTGTATTTGGTCAAACATTGATTAAGTATTTCCCGAGTTAGTTAATTTAAACTAGAACATCTGTTTGTAAGGAGGAGTGGGAAGAGGAACTCTAGGGGAACTTATCTTACAGCCTGCATTATTTGGGGCTGAGTTGTCAAGACTAAAATCTCAGTGTTCCCTGCTGACTTTATAATGAATGAATATCACTTAGCATTGTTGAATTTTTGTTCCTTATGGGGAGATTTCCTTTGATGCTTTACAGATGTAATGTGGAGTTTGAGGTTTACACTGGAAGCTTCCCAAAAACGAAATGATGTTGCAAACTTTAGGGTTCCGTGCCTTTTAATATGATGTGATTGTAGAAGGAGTATGAAGAATAGTATGTGATATGGGTGTAGGAGATACACCAGAGCCTATTTTTTTTTTTTTATATTAAAAGCTGTATTGAAAATAATGTTCTTCCTCAACAGCAATGAGCTGTTTTCCTGGCTTTGTAGTTTGAGGTTGTATGACAAGAATCAGAAAACTGCACAGTAAATTAAAGAAATTATTTCTCTCTCTATGAGGGTGTGTTTTGTTGGTTTTGCTTGTTCGTTTTTTTCCTTATGACATCCCTGTAGGAGTGGGAAACTTACAGAAGAACTAAGCTTCAGCTACCCAGACACTTCCATCAATCTTGCGTGGTTTGTTCCTTCATAGTTCTTTAGTTTCAGAAAGATCAATAAAAATACTGTAAGTGTCATCATTTTCCAGTTAAGCCTTAAGTTACTACGTTTTTTTTGAGAATAAGAAGAAACTTCTGTTACATTATTGAGGTAGGAGTGGAGATATAATGGGCTTTCTGCAGGTTTTACTCTGTGGTTTAAGGAAATAAAAATGCAGAATTTTACTTGAAGACAATTTTTCTAATATAAGTTGTGATTTCTCAAAAGCTACAATTCTTATGATGATCTATGGGAGGCAGGAATGGTGTTGTGCTTTATTTTGTTGGGGGTTTTTATTTAATTAATGTTTTTAAAATTTTATTTTTGGTTTATTTTTTTGGTTTGGAAATGTTATCCATAATAGTAAAAAGTATTAAAGTATTGCCTGTGTGGATAGGACTGCCTAGTCTGAGTGGGTTTTTGATATTAAAACAAAATTGTTTTTCTTTCAGGCTTTCCTCTGTTCTTTTCTCATCTCCATAAAAGAAAAGAGAATGGAAGGCATGTTATTCTCTCTGAGCACAATGTTCAGCTTATACCAAAAAAAAAAAAAAAGTGAAAAAGGAAAACTTTTCCTTATTGCTAATTCTGAAGTTCAGGAGGCTTGTACTTAAAATGTCTGTCATTTTCTGACATCTTACTAAAGTTACTATGACTTGTAATTATGAGTCCCCTTTTCTAGATGTGATGAGTTTGGCATTATGAAAGCAGTTCTTAAAAGAAAAAAGGCCAAATGCAAGTTCATTGTGCAGATTGTGAGGATAACTGGCATTAGGTTTTTTTGGTTTGTTTATAAAGGAATAAACAAATGCATTGGTAACCTAATCCGAATAAAAGTTGATAAAATCCTCTCTTCTTAAAGTAAGAAGAACCCTTTTGTTTGCTGGATTATTAAAGTCTGATTTGTACGTTCTTTTTAATCAATGGGAATTCTTTGGGAATATAAGTATTTAATTGTGAGTACTTTAAATTTTTTGCAATAACTTAAATAGCGATCTATCCATCTCCTTATGAGTACACCTTTATATATTTTAGTAGTAAGATGGACAAGTTAGGCCCACCACTGCGAACTGGAAGAGATGTGCAAAGGTTTTATGACACTGATACAAAAACAGACAGTACCATCAAAAGACCAAATGAGTTGTTGCCTATAAAGAAGTAAGTATTACAAATCAGTGTGGCTTATCTGTTTTGCAGAAATGTTCCTCCAAAGCATTGGAATAGTAAAAGTGTGACCTTGACAGATATCTGTATGTCTTCAATATAAATACTGTGGGAGAAGAGTATATAATGTAATTAGTATAAGTACGCATGAAACAGCTAAACAGCTTCATAGTCAGACAGGAAAGGTGAAGACTTTCTCAGATTTGATTTCTTCTGTCACTGACTGGTTATGGTCTAACAGTAATGAACTTCTATCTTTGTAAAACTGAGATAAAACTGAATTTGCATGATATAAAGCTGAAGTAAGCATTTAAGCCTGATAACTGTATAAATACATGCTTATAGGCAAATGTTCTATGACAAAGTAATTTTATTCTCTTAAAGTCAAATATTTATCTAATTCCTACTCCTGTAAGATAGCTGTGGTGGTCCAGGGATGTATGCAAGGCAGGCTTTGTAATGAGAGGCAAAGTCTTATTAAGTCCAACTTATCTCATGTAAGACTTCTGAATATTCAGCAAGTTAAAGATCTAAGTTTGGAAGAAAGGTTATTCCAATCTTTTAAAAAGGGTATAAATACTATATTGTAGTTAACCCTTTGATATAATTTGGAAGGTGCCAAATTCATATGGGCTGATTCTTTATAAACAATACCTTAAACCATATTGCAAAAGAGAAAATAGTAGTGAGTTGTGTGCTACATACATGGAATGCAATTCTTTAAATAATAGAAATGTGTCTAAATCTCTTAATGCTGTTTTAGTGTTGAAACTGGAGCTGAAGTATCTTTGAGACAGGGCCAGAATATTTGAACTTGGGTTTCTATTTGAAGAAGCAAAAAGATTGAAGGGGGAGGGGGGAGAAGCTCTTTTTAGGCAAACAATTTTTTTTTGTTGTTCTTCTGCATGCTTGGTTAGAGCTATAACCCTTGTGAACCATCAAAATTAGGTCCGTTTTTCATTTTATAATACATTACTAAAAAGTTGAAAGTTTAGACTTAGTGAATGATTAAAAGTGCTTACAGTCGCCCCTATCCATAGAGCAGTGATTTGATGTTTCTTCTTGAGAGAACTATTTTAAGGACTATAGGTACTCTGCTCTTAACATCACTGTCGTTCTTATTAAAATGTCCTATGGGCTCGTGAATTAAATCTGCTTTCCTTGCAGGAGGCTAGTCAATATGTTATGTGACAACAGCACTGGACAAACGTGAATAAATTCTGCATAGCAATGTGGATGGTTACAGTTTATGGCAAAGGTTTCTGGACTTTGGCATGCGTGCTATTAGTCATAAGGAATTTATTTATGATTTTGCACTGAACTATGAGCTGTTGTAGGTGACAGTGATAGCTGTCAAGGATGTCTGAAAACGCCCTGTCTAGGATATTTCAGTATTTTATAGTGAAATCCAACCAAATTGTGAGTGTGTAAATAGAAAAAGGCAAGCTACTTTTACAAATTTCTTGCAGTTTTTCATTTTGCAAGCAGTGGTAATTCAACTAGATGTTCAACATGAGCTGCTTTAGGCAGGGAGGTCCCCTTCAGTCTTATTTCTTTTGAAACTGAGAGTGGATAATAAACCTCTTTAAAGGTGTGTCCAGATTGTAAGAGTTCAAGATGGCATTGGTACACAACCTCATCTGCTGTTAGCCTCCATTAATATTTCACATGATACAACTTAGAACAGGGATTTATATACCTTTGCAAGAACACAACAAACAAAAAAAAATCCAACCAAGCAGAAAAACAACAGAAGTGGACAAGTAGAAGTGGCAGAGGTTGGACAGAGTGGAAGAGACCAAGATGTGGTAACAAAAGTTGAGATAATCAAGAATGTCTGACTTTGTTGGAAGACATCTGTCTCTACAAATCAGATTGCAACTTAAGGCTGCAATTTCAAGATTTGTCATCAAATACACAAGAAACCTGATGCTAATGGTGTCTAGATCTGGGATGAATGAAGTTACAGATAGTGGCAGCCTGCTACTTCTGTTGATTTACTCATCAAAATGGCAGAAATCATTGCAGTTAATTATAGGACTCATTAAAGTTTCTAGTCTGAAAATAGATATTTTTTTTCTATATTTTTAAAAAACTAATTGGGGGAAAATCTACACCAATTATTCAGAAAGCTGTGTTTAAACATAGCTTTTAGTTTTCAAAAAGTAATATGTTGGTCCCAAGTTGAAAATCCAAAGCAAACTAAACCAGTAACGCTTTTGAAAAAAATCGGTTTAAATTACTTGAAGTTGTCTAAACAGGAATTGAGACACAATTCTGTTCTTTGCATCATTGTCTGATCATCTCTGATCCATGATGATCCATACCATTTCTGTGTCGATAGCTGAATTTTTCTTTATATGCTTTTCTGGCTTCCATAACAAGCAAAGTAACAGCTCAGTATGGTTTTTTTCCCACTATTGAGCTCTAATGAATTTTACTCAATGTAAGGAAAGGTCTCTTTTCAGTGTAAAATGAGATGGGGGGAAATAACACAAGATAGAGTATTTAGCACCTGTACTGTTGTGCATATTTGTAACAGTGTGATTTAGGTTACACTTAAGCTTTTATCCTAGTATTCTGTAACTTTTGAAAGACTGACATAACTTTTAGTAGGTTTTAATTCTGATATAACTTATGTAGTGCTTTTTAGTCTGCACAGTATTTTTTTTTTTAAATAAAACCATTTTTAGAATCTCCTTGCTAAAAAAGAGGGCGGACAGGAAAACTAACGGAGAAGGTTGGTGTTCTGCCCAGTTAGCGAGAATATTTGGTGGTTCCACTCTACCTGTTGCACGTAGAACCCATTGTTGTTAAACTTGAATACTTTAGTTAGATTTCATTTCACTTGATTTAATCTTAAATGTAGTTCCCAGTTTCCACTTTTGTGCTTAATCATTTGATCACTCTTCCACTGAAGTGTTTTAAATGACGGAAGCATCTGAAAAGCCATCTTTAGCCTATGCTCATAACATGAAGGAAGAACTATTTTATGCAATGTGTCTAAAATTCAGGAGTTATGACATTGTTCCTCAGTTGTGTCAGTGTTACATTTGAAATTACTGAAGTTGAATGCATTTGCTTATATATACTTTGAAAACCAAACCAAGATTAAGTTGTTTATAATTCTGAAAGGAGCAGTGAAGTTCATCTGAAGGGTAGAAAAAAAACAAAAACAAAAACACTTGGGGTTTTGTTGCTGATTGGTCTCTTGGTGACTGTTTTTTTTTTTTTTTAAAGGAGTCTTGTTTTAGTTTTTTTTATTGTCCATGAGCCAGTCCCAACTTAAATTTCATTTATGCATTAGTGTTCAAGAATGAGAACAGAAAAACTTGGTGGGTTAAGCACAAAACGTCATAGTCACTGAAGTCTTGCCAAAGAAGAAATCCCAGTGAATGGTAATTCTTTTGAGCAATGACGAAAAATTCTGTCCTTGGTCGCTGCTGATAAAAGGATGCCCCTTGCTATCTCTCTTTCTTAGCACTACTCAGATTTTTCAGGGGATTCTGATGTTTCTCTTCTCATCAAAGCAAGCAGTGAGATGTTCTGTATGTTTAGGATGTGCTATTCATTGCATGCTGGCTTCTCATAAAACCCGTGGGTCTTATGGAAAGCAGCTTTCACAGCTACGTCATCATGCTGTTGACACCAACTTTAAGAACACTGTGACAGGCTAGAAAAAAAATTAGGCCTTAATGCCCAGTTGGGTAGACTTTCTTTCCTCTCCTCCTTCTATTTATATTTATGAATAAAATATTTATGCTTTGAAGGAAGAGGATCTATAGCATTATCTCGGAAGGATGCATCCTAAATAAAGTCTGTGGCTATGAAGAGAAAAGTCTAGTGACTCACATCATATTGGTTATAGAGTATTGGAATACGTTATCCTTTCTACGTTTGTGGTTTTTTTTTTTTTAAAACTATTAAAACCTGTAGTCGGCTGCTATCTTATTTCTCTGAAATCCCTGCCAGTCCTAGAAAGTGACTTGTGCTCTTTCAACATACTAAACAACCGGTAGTACAGGATCTACTTGTATTTTGGTGTGACAGCAAGTGAAACATGTGAACAGGAAGGGACTTGCTGTTCTGTTTAGCTTGTCATAGTAAGATTCAAGTCATATTCAGTCCAAAGCAGGCAAGTTCAAGACAAAGCTCTTCCATCTGCTCTTGGTAGGAAATGAGTTATGTTTTTCATACAATTAATTGATGTGTAGATTGTAGAACTCATTTTTTAATATCATTTTTTAATATCATTTGTAAATGCCTATTCTTGTATATATTACTGTGTCTATAATTCATCAGATATTTATTCTGTTTTAGAGGTGCAACAAAAACACGGACATCGACCCCTCCTAGTGTGTCAAGAACCATGAGCACGGGTGCTCTGACAAACAAAAGAAAAACTAGCAATTCTGACAGTTACTCAAGGTAGCTTTTAACTTTGTGGATTTTGTCAGCAGTAGAACCTTCATTAATTGGGAGTACTTATTGCAAAAGAAGTTGGGGAAAATACTGTTCTCTGCAGTTAGTAGATAACTTATGATCAATATTATTTGGCATGTTTAAGATACTCAATATATTTTGCATATTCATCTAACAGAACACCTTTGTCATCAGCTGTCTCGGGTGTGCACAGAAGGCAGTGTTAGAAATGTCAAAAACCTGTTACGAGCTGTTGGAAAAAAATAAGTGAATGGTCTTTCGAATGGGAAGTGAGGGGTTCAGTTGAAATGGAATGAAATTTGCATGCTAAGCACACAAAGAAATTGCCCTTTTAAAGGGTAGGAGAAAAAAATGTATTGCTGTTCTAGCCTTCCTTGTTTTGACAAAGCTAAGTTTTAAGGTTTCAAAAACTCTAGTTAGTCTAACTAGTGAATCAAATATTTGATCCTGCTCCTAAAATTTTGGCATTTTTTTTTCCTTGCAGGGACGGGAGGGTAGGTATCTGGAGATAAGTAGGGGAGTCTAGGTAGAATTATAAGGTATACCACTGTAAATAAATAGGAAGCGTAAGAATGAAAATTACAGTAGCAGTAATTCACTGCAAGGATTAGAATAATTTTGCATCAAGTTATTCTGAACTGAGTTACAGAGAGTGTTCTTTATCTGGGGATTTTCAGATCTGACGGTAAAATTGGTTATGACAGTGGAGACTGCCCATCTTCAGTCAATGGAGGAAGTTCAAAAAGCAGCGAAGGAAATTCACCTGTACAGTTATCAAAGTTCTGCCATGAATGTGGAACAAGGTATCCAGTGGAATGGGCGAAGTTTTGCTGCGAGTGTGGAATTCGAAGAATGGTTGTGTGAACACGTTCTTAAGAGCAAAAAGAAAATGAGAAATCAGGAGCATCTGATATGTACTGCTGCATGGAAAGCTAGAGCACTTCTTCCAGTTAGACTTTGTGCTGCAAATGTGTTGAAACATCATATTGTAATTTTCTGAGTGCAATCTTCTGGTTACACAGTTATTTATAAACAAATATATATACTGTATATAACAATAGCAGGTACCTAAAACTGTGCCATTCAATGAAATACTCTTTAATCTCTGTTGGAAATATTTAAAATTAAGGGAAAAGCACGTTAAGTAACTTAGGTAGCAGAAGTGGTTCAATGTTATTTCTCTTGTAAATCCTACCAGATAACCCATTATTTAAATCACTTAGGAGGATAATACCTACCCATAGGGATAATACCTACCCATAGGGAACGAGCCTTGAAGAACTTGGGCTTCAAGTTTCTCTGTGGAGGTATTTCCTTCATATGTGACAGTAACTTAGATACTGTGTTCTAAGTGAAAACAACATGAGCAACTCCTTATAAAGTCCTAGTTAAAAGTGAAAAAAGTCTGGATCCCTTTAATCTTTTTAACAGTAATATCCTAACTGGACTTTCCAGTTACTTCCTAGGATTTTTTTAAAGAATCAAAGTGGAAAAACTACCTGAGAATTCTGTTCACGTGTAAAGTAGAAAAGCAGAATTTTTATTTGTGGCTTTCTGTGTTCTGTTTTCCAATAAGAACCTGTTAATATTTTTATGTATTTATAAGGACAAATATGGTATTGTCATTTTATTAAGTTCCCTTTGTTCAAAAGTACTTGTCTTCTTCCTCCTGTGTTCCACCATGACTTACATATCTAAAAGTTTTGTGCTTTTTGTCTTTAAAGGTTTCCAAAGGTCCCGCTCCTTTTTTCTCTTCCCTCATTTCCTGAAGGAGAGACAGTCTGTGCTTATCCTACTTAAATGTTGAACTCTTATTTTGAAAACAGCCTTCTTGATGTATCCAATACAAAAAAATAAGAGTTTGTAAAAATGTGTGTTATTGCAGCAGTAGAACTTGATGTAAGTAGTGACTGTTTTTATTCTTACTCCTGTGCGAATAGCACAGCTTACATATGAGTGCATAATGGAGTAACTGTGCTCCGCAGCTCTATGTGTTAATAACTTACATGGGTTTTTTGCAGTTTTTTGTATTCTTGGGCTCTGAACAGCAAGCTCTTGAAGTTAGTAACAGACCTTGCATTAATTTGTTGGGGAGAAGGGTCAGTCACGTGTAGTTGTTGTGGTTTGTTTTGGTGTTTTTTTTTTTTTTTTTTATAAATTACACAGTATATTAAAACCATTCACAAGCTGAATCACTTAACATGTATCTGAATGTAGTAATTTTTTTGGAAGTTTTGCTTTGAAGTACTGGCACCATCTGAGTTATGCATGAAAGAACAATCTGAAAGAACTTAATTGTGCCTTTCCACAATGAGTACACTCTTTTTGTCAGAAATGGTTACTTTCAGCTCACAAACACCATTAGTGTCAATTCATGTAATTTCTTTGTAGCTTATGCAAAATATAATGTAGTGTTCCATGATAGGATTGTGATCATTGTTTACATTCTCAAAATTTGTGATTACTGTCAACGGGGCCAATTTTGAAGAAAGCATGATTGAAGCAAAGCGTCTCCAAAGCAGGTACCAGTCTTGGAGGATGAGAGATTTAAGAGACTTGATGTAGTCATGTTGCAGGCCACAAACGATGTTTTAGAATTAGTTCAGTGGTGTGGAATTGTCTTACACTTTTTATACATAATTGGTTTTAGAAATTATCCTTCATTCAATGTAGTCTTGTCTTACTGTAATTTGCCTAAGCTGGCTACTGAGCTTGGTAGGATGGATGACTGGTAATGATAGTTAGAACTGACAAATCATAGCCAAATTATGTTCTACATGGTTTAGATTCTAGGATCCATATTTTAGCACGTTCATATCTGTACTTGAAAAATCAGAATCTTGCATCTTTTGCATAGATAAGCCTGCTTTAGAAAACTTGCCCTGGTCTTGGACATGCAGGTGTGCAGAATGAATTATTGCAAGCTGAGCGCCCATCAGCAAAGATACAAGTCCATGATAGGTTTTGATGAGTTAGTGAATCTACTGAGGAATCAGTTCCTTTGTCTTACTCGATGAATTTCCGGTTCTTGTTTCTGCTGGTGAAATGCATTTTACCATTTATTGAAAATGCTTTCTACAAAGGGAAAGTTTAGTATGGAAATAAATACAGTCCAGGATTGCTGTAACTGTAGAAGAAACATTTCTGCTTTGAATTGTAGGTGGCAGGTTTCCTAGTTCAAATCAATCTGCGTACAGTTACCATAATTTCTGCTTTTTGAGCTGTTTGTGTAACTCTGCTTCCAGTGTAGCATTCAGTAAATTACTTGAGTGACACATCATTTACCTTATTTACACTGCTATGATTTATAGCAAGGACTAGACAGGAGATTAACCTGAAATGAAAGAAGAATTTTAAAAAGATTTTCTGAACTTCTAATTTGGCCTTAAAAGAAGGTCTATTGAAACATAAATGACTGTTGGTAGTAACATTGGATAAGGTGTATATGTTTGAATCTACAATAAATATAAGCAGACAAGGAAAATATAATTGACTATGCAGTTTACTGCTGTACAGTGAGACTATCAGAGGCCTAGTATGTTTCCGCTTTATCAACTGGTTTTGTTACTGAATGACAGGTTTCTACTGTCTCTCATTTTACAGACCATAGACTATTACACAAGTTATCAGCACAGATCGCTGTAATTACATCTCAATGGAATGTTTGTTAGAAAATAGAAATTTGTTTTCATAGTGCCCCTGCAGAACTGTATGAGTGACAGATTTGTTAAAGAAAAAACAAACTGTTAAGGGAGACGGACTATACATTTTTAATCTTTAGGTACACTACACCCAAATTTAATTACCTAGGTCCAAACCTTCTTGCCCCAGCCCTCCCCCCTGCCTTTATGCCTTGGATTTCACGGGAGGAAAAAACATGGATACATATACTGAAAGGGGAGTATTCCAAAATGTCTCAAGAATCAAAATATTGATAATTGTGAAGATAAAACCCCCAGATGAACTATGCACCGCTGATGCACTTCACTGATGAGTCTAAACTTAGCTAGTGTTATCCTCAGGATGCCTTGTTGACAGATATTTAATTTAAAAGCCTAAATTCCTTAGAGTTCATGTGTAAAATTAGGATGATGCAATTATTGTTTCGCATCTGTCTTTCCAGTTCTCTCTCTCTGTGTATATATATATGTAGGGTGTGTGCATGAGCACACACCTGTATTTTGTGGAAACTCATAAGTTATACAAATGTAAAAAGTTGTTTGGCTAAAGCAGCATTGATACAAAACAGGACTGAATGCTACTGGAGGATTGTGAAGCCCAAGACAGTAGACTAATGTAGTTACTGTCCTTTTAAAGTGGAATTTATTGATGTGATTGTTTTAATGATTTCTATACCAATGTCTGACCCTATGACACTTTTTTTTACTGTGTGCCACTATATCTTCCTAATGTGCTTACTAAGGTTCTTCTGTTCAATTAAAAAAAAAAAAAGTAAAAAAAAAAAGTCAAAGGTAAATTTCCATCTAAAGAAACAAGGAGAAGGCTGGTTTTGAGGTCTGGCCTGAGGGCGTTTTGCATTCCCATTTTGCTTTTGTGAGTATCTGTTATACAAAGGACTTCTCTGTGCCAGAAAGGAGTGCCAGGATCATTGTAACTATACTGATAGAAGTGCATTGGTGTTATGAAAAATACCAGCTTGAATAGTAAAGACAACATAGCATAACGCTTAATCTTTATATGATGTACGTTACACAGGTTTGTATTTATGCATGATACTCGCACCCTAGGTAGTTCCAGAACTGGAATCTCTAAATACACAGCAACTTAAGTATATGGTTATATGGCTAACTACACTCTCAGTCTTACACACCGCTCCTGGGAAGTGGGCGTGGGGAGGTGCTTTACCACCATTTCAACTTGTACCTATGGAACGAACATTTAGGCAGAATTTTTCAGATTTGCCAAAGAGACTGGAAGAGCCATCAAGCTCTGCTGGGGGCTTCGGGAGCTCTTCCCGAAGGGCTCCTTGGCCGGGAGGGAGCTGGAGACCCGTGGGGAGCTCTCCATGGTGCTCCAGGCAATGAACACGCTCCGGCCCGGCCGAGGGCAGTGCCTGCTCACTCTCTTCCACCTGTGCTGCGAGTAGCCACGGTCACAGGCTGGTAATTCCAAAATGTGTTTTAAAACCTGACCCAGTCTTCAAGCATCATGGAAGCTTGCTGCCGTCTGAGAGAGACAAGCTTCCAATTCACCGTTGCATCTGAGAGTTAGTGTCTGAAACGCAGCGTGCAAAGAGGACAGTTTCATGAGGCACGCTTATCAAATCAGTGGAAGGAGGTATGACAGCAGTAGTTTAAATGCTAATAAACAAGGCATGTAGCAGTGCACACTGATGTAGACTATGTAATTAGCCTTGAGTATAAAATGAAATGGTATTGTCTATGTATTGCAAAGTTCTCAAGAAGTGCTAGTTTCCGTCACATAGATTTTGTATATGTATGAAGAACAAACTTTTTACATGTTTTTCCTTTTAACCTTGGTTGAAAAATTTGTGTTTTGTAAGAGCATTTTTTGCAGCTTTAATTATTTTCAGGTTGACTAAGCTATGAATAATTATATGGGTTGTATGACAGGGTAGAATTTTCATCTTTGGTGAAATTGGTTTTGGTGACTCTGGTGAAAATAGTTTTATTGCCTATAAGTACAGCTCATTCCAACTTGTGGTGGTTTTGTTGCTAGGTTGGTTTTTTTTCAACTCACTGAGTAAGGTTTGAGTTACCTAATTGGTTGGAAGAAATATTAGGTGAAAGATTCTCTAGCTGTATTCACCAGTTACTTGGTTGATATTTTCTTTCCACTATTCACAATATAAGTGATTACTCTTGCATACTATTTTGGTGGTG